TCTAAAAAAAAGTAAAAAAACAACAGCTAGTAAACATTAGTTATTTATAAACTCTACTTAAATACATTGAACTCACTGGTTAGTATTATGATAACGAATACTCTTTACTGGTTTATATTAATCTGTAAAATGCTTTATTAATCCAAATGTGGAAATGTCAATAAACCTGATCTTCCTGGTCTTGTCATACTGATTTCTAGAAATTTACTTTTAAGACATCCTGTGGGTAAAAATAACAAGGTCAGGCAAAAGCTTAGTAACATTGACAATGACCTTCTCAATCTTTACATTTGCATTGGATACCGATTTACAGGCTTTAATCCAATGACTTAAAGATTAAGGCCAGATGTCATTCTCCATGCCGTGGTTATGAAAGAAGGAGAGTAAAGAAGAGTAAAAATTGTGGATCTGATTATAGTTACGAAGTTAAATTTATGGTACTGCTGATTTAGGAGCCCCTCTAGCAATAAGAGCAGTTTAAAGTATGTCTCAGTCACACACCTGGGGCCACATACAGGAATCCATAAGTAAAATTGTTTCCTTAAAAGTTGATTTTAGTTTAAGTGTTTTACAAACAGCAACAACACATCTGGTATCTCCTATGTAGGAAGTTGGCTAATATTTGGCTGATCAGCTATCTGTTGCAGTATGCATCCAAAATGGCAAATTGCTGACTTTTAAAAATATTTGACAGCCCTCAAAGATTCTGAGTTTATATTATGTAATTATGTAATCAGCACAATGCTGTGTCTTTCTCAATTTCTCAGGTAGTGTCAATATTTTTCAAAAAGCAGATTTAAAAGTTATTTATTACATTTATTTGAAAAGGAGTTCAATTTGACTTATTAACTCTCTTTAGGTAATTTCTTACAGGATTTGGGAGCTATAGAAATGTTTCTCCTTGACTTTGATTTTAAGTTGAGTATCTGGTCTACACATAAACTTTCAACGATCATTTATTTCATAGATCTATACCAGGAGGAAAATGTATTTTAAACAATGATGTCTGTGTAGAGGTGGAAAGTTGCCTTGGCTTTGCCATATATATAAAGTGTGAGAATGGAAGCGTTTAAACTAAATAGTTCTTCTGTTAAGATCAATGAAATCTTAATTTTCCATGAAGATTTTCTTGGAACTACAAAATAGCATTTAGCTCGATTTCTTTCACTTGCATCCCGATTTAACTTTGATTTTATGGAAATTGTGCATATAACCGCAGTGAAAAGGTGGCAGCTGTAAGCATTGCTTGTCTTGCATCCTGCCTGAAAGCATTACTATTCATTAAAATAACCTTCACTTTGTAGTAACACTCAAGCTGTAAACAGTCAACTTAGATTCTGGAGAACACACAGCCCAAAAAGTAAAGAAATGTCTGTCTTTGCAAAGTAATTTGTCGAGTTGAAGATTATTGTTTTTCATCATGGTGACCCTGACTTGGCTGGCTGGGTGCATATACAGATTAAGATTAATGCAGTTATTCCTTGGCTAAGGTCTGCCTCTTTCAGGGCACATTCTCCCTAATGACATGATTGATATGCAGTCCCAAATCCAGAGAGGAACTCATTAATCACAGCATTGACTGAATCCAATCATGTGCTTCACCTGCACAGTGATGGACAGGAAAGGATACAATTCCGGGGCTGACACTGAGGCACTCCTTTGTCAGAGGACCTCAACTTTTTCAATGTCAGCCTCTGCAAAGCCTGACGAGAAATTTTGCTCGCAACCTGTATGCAGCTTCGAAACACTGACAAATTCCTTTTGCTGAAACAAGGTTTTTTGTTTGTTTCAAGATTTACTCTAGCTAATGAAAATCTCTTAAAGTAGGATTTGCTTTATTTTTTAGCAAGGCTTATATGAGAGTAAAGTTTTTGCTTTTTTATTTTTTATTTTTAAAGAAGGATGTTTTGCAGCTACATGTGGAAGCAATATAAAAGTTAATGTCCAGCAGCTGGGTATCATTTGGTTCAGTCTTCAGGTCAGTGGCACTGACTCTTAGCAGAACTAATTTTATAATCATGGCAAAATCTCAGTAATGAACTGCAGTATAGAGCTGATTATACCACATTAAATTTCGTTTAGTCTGGGAAACAGTGGAAAACCATGCGTTTTCTTAAGAATATTTAAATTGCAAAGCCTAACATGATCCAAATAGCAATTGCAATAAGAAAATTAGTGTGGAATATATATGATGTAAGTTGAATATCATGACTTATTTTGCACTTTTAGTTTGGGAACTTTTAAAAAAAAAATTATGCCATCCATTATTACTATGTAAATAATGTCTAAAGTCAATAATAAGCATATGAGTTCTTATATAAAAGAAATATTTCCCAAATATAATTTGCACATTCCTGGGGTAGTGATAATAGACCCTTTTCCTAGAAGAATAATCAGGGCAGTGACTTTTACTAAGTATCTGTTACCAAGAAGAAACAGGAGAGGGGGCACATATTTTTTAAAGGCAACAAGTGTCAAAAGGCCAATTTAAAATACCCAGTGGTAAGCACAGGGCCAGGAAGCACCCCACCTATATTTAGCTTAATAGGCTCCCCTTTTGACACTTTAATTAGTCTTTAATATGTTCTGAGACAGGTGTAGAGAGGAATCTACAAAAGACACCATCCCAAAGCTATTTCTGGCATCAAAGATACTTTTTATCCTCAAAGAGAAAATACAAATTATTTCTTAACGTGTTCTTAAAAAGAAATGTTTTGTTTTCATCCCATGATTATGGCAATTTCAACAATTGCAGTAATGGGAAAATGTTTTATAGATAGGAGTATAAATGCAATAAAGAAATGTTTTAAAAAGAAACGATTCAATTTTTTAAAAATGCTTTCAGGTGCTTAGTTCTAAGGCACTGTTTATATGAGCAGCAGCGGTTTGGGGAGGCTCACCTATTTGAGCAAAGTCTTTATGAGTGCTTTGAATATGAGACTTGCATCGACTCTCCACACTCAATCTCTCTGCTTATTTTCCCCTTTACAATTCTTCATCACTGATATGTCTCTGCTTTCTTTGTATTTAGTGCATTTATGACAATGGAGAAAAGCACAGTCTTAGAAGAAGGAGATATTGCTCTTGAACTGACTGAGCAGAAAATAAACATGATGGTCCTGGATATCTGCCACAAACCAGGTGGCAGCGAGTACCTGAGGCAAATTTATCACATCATGTGGCTCAATGAGGTAGGGAAACGGCCTTTTTACCGAGCAATTAGGTGTGTACTGGCCTGAGGCAGCGTCTGCTGGCAGCTAAGGGTTAGTCAAGGAGGCGATAATACTTCTTAAAGTCAATACCAAACTCAATATTGCATTATTAATAGAATCTATTCAGCCCCGGCTGTTCTGCATTTGTACAGCAGAAGCTTCACGGAAACAATGTAGGTTTTATTTATACGGTTTAAACAATAACACGGTTCATAAACTCAGTTCAGTTCTGAATCCTATAGACTAGAGGTGTAGTTTGGGAATTGTGTGTTTGTGACTGTTAAGCCAATGTCACAAATCTGGTGTTTGTGAAATGAAGAATTTTCTGGAGAGAATTTTCTGTAGCTCATCTCAAGTAGACAGCATACCTCTTACATAATGAGAAAATTTCAGAAGAATATTGAGCCATATGCGGGAGCAACTAGCTTAACCCAAGAAAATGCATTAATGCACAGACACTGGTTGGAAGCAATGTCATGCTTGTCCACCTCTCAGCTGGGTTAAGCCTCTGACCTTTCATGTTTCAGGCTGTTTTAGCAAAAATGTAAAGAGCGGCATCTCGGTTATTACTTAAAACAATACAAGTATGCTCATTTAATCAGGTTTTTAATTTGATCATATGTATCTGAATTAGAATGTGACATCTAATGTGAATAGAATTATGTTTATATTTGCAAACACATGAATGCATTTTTTGGAATGGTAAAAATTGTATAATATGAATAATGTGATGATACACTGTTTATCTCAATGAAATAGACCTTAAAAACCATACGCTTCTAAGGAATGAATTAAATTCTATCACAGCATTTTACAACTGAGTTATATGAATGTTCTTCTCACTATTGTCTATCTGAAAGTTACTTCAAGTAAATCTTGTTTCCTGGCTTTCCAACAGCTAATCAACCAGTCAATAAACAGGTGATGTAATAGTGTATTCAGCGATCACCTGGGAAGGAACTGAGGAATTTGTAGCTATGAAAAAATCATCCTGTCCCTAAGGGACTTGAGCTCAGTATGGAGATGTTACAATGTAATACAGCCTATTCACTCTTGCTAATAACCCTTCACCGCTAGTTGGAGGTTTCTATCTGGGGAACTTTGGAACTCTAACTCCTGGCCTTGGCTAACTGAAACACCTCCATTTCAAAGTCATGGTCTGTATTGGCATGTCCACCTGGCCACACAGATTGGTCAAAATAACTACTGATTGCTGAGGAACAGATGTTGCATCAGGATTCACTCAGATCCTTAGTAAAATGGCCTTACAGCAGTTCTGAGGTCAGCAATGGCTGGTATAGATTGAGAACCGATAGGCTAGTCCTCTTTTTAAAAGGCCCATAACTCAAAAAGATCAGTAATCACCAGTAAGTAAAATCAACAAAAATTAAGTTGGATATTCAGAAAATTCAAAGGCTGTTTTTCCTCATGGAGCTTGTGGGACTCTGAAGCAGTTGTTCTGAAGAGGTATGCTTTGAGACCTAATGTATGTAAGACCCTTTCCTGGGGCACCACCGCATTTTGATTAAGGTCAAAGTTATTATAGTTCTTTCATTACAATTCAATATACTTGCTGTTATAGCAAGGTCTGTCACATGGGGTGTCAAGCTAAGTACTTGGAGGCTTATTGTGGTGAGTGAGTTGCACTGCTGGAAGCTAAGACTCATAATGTAAGGTGAGGGTAGAACCAAAGAAGTAGAGAGAACGTTGCCTTGTGACTACGAAACCAACACAGGCGTTAAACCCAAATAACAACACAAGGGTGGTTACGTGACTAGCATAATTCTCATGGCTGCTTTTATACTGTGACGTTTGCTTATGCTATAGGTGAATTTGCACTGTGATGTTTGTTCATTTGATGAGTGGCACTAAGAAGCTTCAGCGCTTTCAGGTGTGCCACTAAGTATTCGAAAATGTAAAGATAGAAGCATCTATAGGTACAGGCCTGGGTGAGGGGAACAATCTGTGTGCCATTGAGAGCAGCAAAGTCATGAGCAAAAAATGAGTTTTAAAATGTTGGTCTTTGAGATAAAGGAACATAGAAGTCCTGGCCAGGAGCGCAGATGAGGGCAGCTGGGAGTATAGATCTGGTGACCTTCAATGAATATGGTAGCTGAGGTCATGAAATTGGTGGAGAGTTTCCGTGAAGAGAAGTAGAGAAACGATGGGTAGATAAATAAGCTTTTATTTAACTGCACAGGGAAGGTGTTCAAGAAAGAATATTTAAAGAATATATTGCTTTTAAAGAAATATACCAGATTAGTAATAAATCTGGTTAAAGCAATGTCACAGAAAATCTGAGACTTTTAAGAAGTGGAAATGACAAGTGTCAATATAGAGGAGAGGTCAGAGAAATTAAGAGAGAAAATGTGCTTACAACTTGCAGCAGAGCACTTTTTCTGTTTTGAATTGTGGAAATAAAAAAGCCCAAAATATAGTCACATAAGAGGAAATTAGTGAGGAAGATTATTAGTAAAAATAAAGCATTTTTTCTGAGGTAAGGAGGGGATTTTATTTCTTTTTAAAATTTCTTTCAGAAATCACAATGGAGAAAAATTTGTTTCTGTTCAGAAATATAAATCTAGGCACAAAATTATTTTCTGATGGCTTTGACATTATCTAATAATTTTAGTAAGAATCTGTGTTATCAAATAGTATAGAATTGATTTTTTAAAAGAGATATGACCCACCATGAGCAAGTTTAAGAAATGATTATTAGTGTTAACTTAGGTAGCCTTTTTTTTTTAGATTTTCAGGGTTTAGGGATCTGAAATTTGCATTTCACAATGAATACAGTGGGCATTCTCTATTCATGAAGTTATAGAGCAACAGGGCAAAAGCACAGTGGACTGAGACCAGAAATGTGGCTTCTTTCCCCAACTCTACCACTCATCCCTGAGTGACCTCAAGCTTGTCCCTAACCTTTCAGAGCCGACCATTGACCATTGAATGTAGCATGAGCTAGAGTCTCTCAGACTTTCATGTGCCTACCAATTTCCCAGGACATCTTAACAGTCAGACCCTAACTTGTTGGTGCCTGCAGTTCTCTTGTTCTTACCAGCTCCCTGGTGAGACTGATTAGGCTCATCTGTGCATCAGACTTATGGTAACAAGATTTTCTTGAAAACTTTCGAAGTCCTTTCCAACTCTCAAATTCTTAACTTAGTCTTAATCCTAATCTTGAAAGAAAAATTATATTGACATCCTAAAAATTGGAACAACACTTATTTATTGCATGACTTGCTTATTCATAGCAAACATTTGATGGTTTATCAGAAACCTTCATTTTTATTTGTTGCTTTCCAAAGAGTCCTATAAAATAGATTAGGGGTATTCATCTTATTTGTTTATGGATGGAAATGAGGAATAATGCAGTAGATTGACTGTTTTTCATTGTTGACACTATTGCAGATGTCTCCCACTTCCCCCAAACCTTTGCCGGCCTCCACCCAGACCCCGCCCTCCCCTCCCTTTGGCCATCGCCACTCTGTTGTCTGTGTCCCTGGGGTATGCATATATGTCGACTAGCCACCTTCCTTCATCCAGCTGTCCCCACCCACCTTTCCTCTGAGATCTGTCAGTTCTACCTCTGGTAGATTGACTATTTTTGCTCAGGCTGGTCCTGGCAGCTGGCGGGTTAGAATTACACATTTTGATCTTCTTTTGTACCTTGATATTTTTCAGGCCACAGCATGGAAATAGAATTGAGGAGCTTGCATTATCATTAATTCTACGTAGAGTGAGGCAGCTTGTAGTGAAATATCAGAGTACTTAGCACTCGGCTGAGTATGGAGTGGATAGCAATTACACTTAATAAATGAATGAACAATCTTATCCTGTGACTAATCATGCACCTGAGTGAAGTTTTGGTAACCGGCGATGTTAACACATGAACCAATGACAAGATAATGCCTATTAAAAAGATTCTGGTTTATCAAGCAAATGTTCCTTACGTGAGAATTTGTTAAAGGGTTTTCTAATCTATTCTATATATTAGGTGAACCTGTTTTTGATGGGTTTATTGCAAAACTGATTAGTACTCTGCTGTGTTTCTCCGGAAAATGTATTCTGTCCTGAGGCAAGTAATACACTGTAATCTGGCAAATGTGCTGAAAGAGTAGATTTGGATATTGATCAGTTTATTTTTAAAGAGGATATATGCTTCCCACCACAATGACTTGTAATTTTTTCCCCCTTGAAGGAGTATTTAAAAGAACAGCTGTTTTCTATGAATGGTTCAGAGGAAAAGCCATTACCCATCCGACCTTTAAAAACAACCTTGAGTGTGGAAGATCAGCCTTCTGCCTTTAACCCTTTCCATGTGCACCAGGCGTTTAGTGAAAACATGCTAGATCAGGTATGTAATGGTACATTTAATTTAAACGTGTGGTTTCTTTCCACTAGTAAGGGGAAAAAAATGGTTTGTGTTTGAATATTTACTCATAAGCCTTTTCTCTAGGAAGCAAAAGGCCTTATGTTTATTTGCATGGTCTGCACAAATTGACTTTGAAAAGTTATTTTACCTTCTTCCTATTTGTCAAACTGATTCATATGTTTGGTCCATAAAATTTAGCTTTTGACCAGGTCAGTTCACTGTGGGCAGAGGGAACATCTGTTTGGCTGTGTCTACAGAAGGACTGAAAAATCAGGCATTTTGTAACAGTCTTCCCCTCCTTTGCTTCCCCACACCCCCATCCCATAATACCCACACTCACAAAAAGCCTTGGAATCTTTACCAATTTATCAAATTTATCAGGTAAATTATAAAATAGTTGACAATTAATTATAACTAGAGCACTGAGCTCCTATTTTAGGTGGCATGAGGTAAATTAGCTTTTTTTATATGACCCTAAGTACGTTCCTGAATTTAAAATGAATTTACTAATGATCTTAAAGTCAGGATGTTTGGAATAAAGTCAATGTGATAAACGCCACGCACTTTTAAATGTCAGGCTATGCCTGTGTTTCAGCCGAATGTTCCAGTGGTTATATTCAAAGCAATGCCTTTGTGCCAACATATTTGAAATCTGAGGTTGCATTCCCTTTATTTATCCTTTTGGTGGCTTTTCCGAGAAGCCTCTTGACAGACTATTTGAACCAACAGGGCAGAAGAGAAGGATTGCTTGACCTAGAGCTCTGATGAAAATAAGAATTAAAACAATGGCCTAATTCGGGATGCAGATAATATTTTTACCATGCCCGTTACAGCTCTCGTCTACACTCATCAATACTGTAGTAGAGTAAGACCTTCAAATGCTGACAACCCGGGGCAGAATTCTGCTGCTCCATGACAGGATTGGAGTGCTCCATTAATCAGCGGGTGACAGGGCATAGTTCTTGTTGGATTTTAAGCATCAGCCTGTACTCTTATTATCAAAACTATTTAGTTTAAGGAGTAGAAGCATCTGTAATACTTTAAAGCCAAATATGTATTGTATAAGCTTGAGCTTATTGGCTGCTTTCCTGTGTTGTACGTTAGGTTGCTCCAAACCATAAATAATCATTGTGGCTGTTAAATTATCCTCACTTCATTTAAATAAATGGCATGTTTTATTCAGTTCTGAAATATGAGATTATCTTTCACAGTAATTTTCTTCCTTACTCTGTTGTGAAATTATCTATTAAATTAGAAAAAGAAGAATCACTTATGTTATTTACATTTATAGGCCCTTATAATTTTCCCTTTAAAGCATTTTCTTAACCAAAAAGATAACATTAACATCACACTCTGATTAAGCTGCATCTGATAATTTGGGTTGTGTACTTCTGAGTTTGTTTCCTTTTCTTTCTTACTTTTTTTTAATCCATTGATTCTAGAGGGGGAAAAAGAGGAAGGAAGAAAGAGAGAGAAACATGGACTTGCTCTTCCACTTATTACACATTCATTGGTTGATCCTTGTATGTGCCCTGACTAGGGATCGAACCCGCAACCTTGGCATATCTGGATGATGCTCTAACCTGCTGAGGTGCCCGGCCAGGGCCTCAAGTTTGTTTTCTTACTCACACTTCTGGGTGCTAAAAAAGACCGTAAGCTGATATATGAACAAGTTACCAGTTATTTTGCTTTGCTCTTCAAAGAGTCACCCTCTCAGAGGAACTTGTTGGGCAAATGCCATTAGCACTTGGAAGAATGACGACTCAGGAAATTGATTTATATTTTTATAAATAATGACTACACCCTCAAATGGATTTATAAATTAATTGCTGTCTTATTGGAATAAAAACCTTCTTCTGTGGACATGATTGATGTTATCTGTCTAAGTCCTTGTTCTGGACCCCCCTCCTTCTTAGTTAGTCTATCACAGCTGGAGCTTTAATTTACTGATCATATTAACTCTGATTAATAACTAACAATAGCGTCTTCTCATTTATCAACAGTCAGCCATCACAAAATGGAACTGGAATTGGTCAAACTTGCTGCCAAATTATCTGGGACTGGATAAGATGACCTTCAGTGTACTGCTCAGAAACAGGTAAGATTGAGGATTTGGGGGAATCTGGTTGGGGGAAAAATACGTATATATAATCCTTTACATATAGGATATATAGGTGTCTGAAGGTATATATATCTGAAATTATATGAAATATATTTTCTAAGTGCTGTTTTTACATAGTAAACATTTCCAAAAGGCAGTACAATTTTTTCTGAAATTAGTTGATTTTAGTTGGAATTTTAAATGTTTTGACTCTGTGTATATAATAGTTCAGAACTGTAAACACCGAAAGTTATTGACTTGAATGTCATATATTACTGTGCCTTTGTTTACAACAATTTAATGAATGTATACAAAATGCCTAGCCAAATCAACTAGTTTAATCAGGGGAAACATATAAGTAAAACTGTTATGATTGAATTTTTTGCTTTTCAGCCAGTTATTTTGGCTTGTCTTGCTATTTGGCCCTCTCAGTTGCATATTCCTCACACACACACACACACCACAGGACAACCCAATGAAATAATGTGATTTTAGCCAAGGAATCTAAACATTTAATTTATTTTGCACAACATTATAAATATTTTCTTTATATTTTTGATCAATTAGCATGGTTTCTAAAAATACCTTTAAAATTTTCAGAGAAAAGTATAAGGTATAAGTTTTAAAAATTGGGTTTCTTTGTTAAGTATCACATTTTCAAGTAAGATATATATGTGTGAGACACCTTTATTGTTCAAGTATAATCTGTTTGCTTATACTTACATATGAAAAATCTATATAATCTTTGTGATGTAGAATGTATTTCTATATTGTTTGAAAAATATATTGTATCATTTTTCCTGAAAGAATAATGACAGTGACATAGTACAATTGTCAAATCGTCCTTGAGAAACCTGGGTGCCCACAAGAAAATATCTTAAGAGAGAGAGAGACTCCAGTATTTCCTAGATGAACATTTAAAAAATAAAAAAAGGCATCTTTATTGCCAATAACAAGTGTAGCTTAGATGTATGGTCACAATGGTATTCCTAATATTTTTACCCCTGAATAAAGTTCACCCCCTCATCATGGACAAAACTGAACAATCCAAAATCTTCCCCATCAAGGGCGGAGCCTTCTCCCGTAAGCCTACCACGTGGCAGGCAGCCGTCCGCAATGTGCCCTGTTCGTGCACGGGCCCAGGGGTGCTCCTGTCCTGCCCCAAAGCTGCTTAGAGAGGCGGGGGCAGGACGGTGCAACAGAGGCCAGGTCTTGTGCTGGACCAATGGTTACATAATGTTTACACAACATTAAACGCCTATCCGGAAACAAACTAGGAAAAGTAAGTCATCTGTTTCCCGCTATTTGGAAGGTTTGGATTTTATATATGTTAACTGCGTTACATTTTACTAAGTTTCTTCAGCGCTGAATTGCCGCTTCCAGTCCCCTGGACGGCACTGTAGGGGCAGCACATCCTGCAAAACTTACTGCATTTGCTCTGACGAATATTCACTTTGAAGCGAATTTGTGTTTTCACCAAAATTGCATATTGTTATTTTTGTTTAACAAATTGAGATATACTTCAATTAGGTCAATAGCTATTAAAGTCTATTTCCCTGAAGTATTATATGCAGGAGTGGAAGAAAAGAACTCCCACAAATTTAGCCAGAAGTAACAGGTCAAAAACAGTTCTCTTGGAAAAGGATCATGAATTTTTAATAGAAACAGCTAGAATCTCATCTTAATAAGAGCCTTAGATTTTTAAAGAATGTCATGAAAAGTATTCTACTCCAAACGACCACACACCACAGCTACAAGGGACATAATTGATCTACTTTAGAGGGATGAAAGACACCTGAGAGTTTTTAATCTCTTTTAGCACTTTCCCATTTAATTTCAGAACATTATTTATGAGACTTGATTAATACTGAACTGGTAAGAAAATGGTTTCTGATATTTTCTCTAAGAGACTCTCTTGTTTGGGCTTATCTGAGAATGCTGATTTAAAAAAAAAAATGCATTGAATTCTTGAAAACATGGTTATCTGAAAATAGTTATTTGAAAATGAAACCACAGAACGTGGAACTTTTAGAAGTTGTATGTGCCATCTTACGTCCTCAGCTCACTATCAGGCCTCATCTCAAAACATTTCCCTCCAAGTCATGAGCTCTAAGTTCATTGCCTCCTTCCTGCTCTTGGGATTCCCCAAGCTCTTTCCAATTTTATGGTCTTTGTCATTGCAGTTCCCTCAGCTCTTCACATGGCCAGTGCCATCTTGTCCACCTGGAGCACATGCTGCTCCTCAGTGAGGCCTCTCCTTATCACCCATCTCAAGCCACCCTCTGAGTCACCCCAGCCTTCTACTCTGCTGTGCTTTCTTAACTGAGTCATCGCTCTCTGAGACCTTAGTTTCTGTTTGTTCTCTTAACCCTAACCCCCAGCGCAGAACATAAACTCCAGGAGAACAGCACCCAACCCATCTTACTCTGTGTCTTCAGTACCTGTAACAACCCTAGGGCTTGTCATCGGCTCTGAGTAATATTTGTTGAATTAATTAACAAATAAGGAACAAGGTTGCAGAGAAAAAGTCAGCCCCTGGCAGATGAGCACAGGGTTGACTTTCTCTAAATGTGCTGTGCAATCAATATTTATGTCGGTGCCAATAGTATACTCTGGAAGAACCTCACGGAAAACATCTGCACATGTATTCTTTCTCTTCATTTTCCAGACTTGGGTAAGAATCAGGTCAGTTAAGCTCTGTATGGTTAAAATGCCTGTTATTTTTATTATTATGTAAAGTTTGGCTCAGATTCAAAGCACAAAACACTGGTCTTTATTTTTAATTAATTGATCCAGTTCAAGCCAAAAACTCTTCAGCAACAAAGTCTACTCTTTACTCCCTGGTTCAGAAGTTCTTTGACATTTGGGCTATAGGGTTAGTATTTGTTAAGTGATACTAAAAATGTAAGTTGAACATTTTGAGGTCAAGTTAGCTGACAAAAGTATCTAACCAAGCCTTTGTAAATTTGTGACTTTTTTCCAAGACATTTGAGGAAATCCGCAGTTGCCAAGACCTCAGAAAAGAGATCCTGAATATATATTAATGATTTATGTTTTTCAACTTAGAAAGTTTGCCCTTGTAGGGGAAAAAAAAAGGATTCTTAGAGGTTCAGAAAATTAACATATATATCAGTTCTACACCTTTACCTTTAATGCCATATAAGATTGTGCATTGATCTTTTGAAATTATAAAAGGACTTTTCACAGTTTCTTACTATTAGTTTTTTGCTTGCTTTCTCACCCACTTGAAAATAAATCCAGGCTGGGGAACGGGACGGTGATTGCATTTGCAGGAGAGCGCACCAGAAGGCACACTCTCCACTCCTTCATTCATGGTGAATCTCCAGATTGCCATTTCGATACTGTTTTCTTTGTCACTGGAACAAATTTATGTTGCCTCTTTTCTCTTTACCTTATTTATTCCAGACTAATTCCCAAGAATTGTGGTGTTGAAAGTAATCTGCGAATGCAGTGGGATGCTGTGCTTTCTTAACCCCCTAAATATACTGCGCATGAGTTTGGCTTTGAGTTGAGCAAACGCAATTAAACACAATGGCAGGAACAGCAGAAGGGGTGGCGGCGGGTTCCTAGCCATCGCTTTGGGGCCTTTCCAGGTGGACAATAACCAGACATACGTCTGAGAGGAAACAGAGGTTAGAAAACATGTTTTAAGAGTCCTTGATCTGTGGAGTTGATTGTTTGCTTTTAATTGTAGTAATGATTAAAACACCTTTACGCTGTATCAGATTATAGCGCGTGTGCCCTGGGTGTGTAGAGTAGAAAACATTGTCCCTGGCCTTTAAGTGCACGCGCTGCTCTCCAGCGACTGTTCTCAGGCGGAGCGGCCGTTAGCACAGGGTGCGTAGTTGCTCCTGGCAGTCAGCTCCTGATGTAGCAGAGGCAGCCGGTGACGGAGGGGTGAGTTTCAGAAAAAGGGGCCACTGATTTTATGAATACACACCTCTGGGCCATTGCATATGCTGTGACATTCAAAGTGGGGGTTTGCATGCTCTAGCTCCTTAGAAAACCCTTTTCTTCCCACCCCCACTAAAAGACCTCAGACTCAGTGACTCCCCTCACATGGCCATCCTCAAACAGGAGCAAGCTTCCTTTCCTGTCCTGAAATCCTAGCTCAGCGTGTGTTTTGCAAAGAGATTGTCTAACATTTATTTCATATGTGTATATTTAACACTCTGATCCTCAGGATTCCTACAAGTTAGGGCTTTAGTACATGAACCAAACAAAACCCTGCACATGTATTGGCTTCTGATCGATAACTTCTATATGTTGTTCATTACGGTGTGTAAAGTACTTTCACACAACTCTCCTTTGACCCTCATTTCAACTATGTAATTAGAGACAGGTACCAGTGAGGCTGCAAGACATTACATGACATGCCGGAGGTCACAGATCTCAAATGGCATCTGGAACTCGAAATGACGTCTCCTGACTATACCTGGTGCTTTATCTACTATACCATATTTCTAGTCAAGGTTTTTTCCTCATTTTATCAAGATATAATTGACATGTAACATTGTATAAGTTTGTAGGTGTTGATTTGATGCACTTATATATTGCAAAATGATTACCACCATAGTGCTAACTCCATCACATCCCATAATTACCATTTGTGTTTGTGGTGAGAACATTTAAGATCCACTTTCTTAGTAACTTTCACGTACAGATGATCCCCGACGTATAATGATTGGACTTAGATTTTTCAACTTTATGATGGTACAAAAGTGATACGCATTCAATAGAAATCATATTTCAGAGTTTGAATTTTGATATTTTCCTGGGCTAGCGATATGTGGTGTGATACTCCCCCCCGATGCTGGCCAGTGGCAGTGAGCTGTGGTGCCCAGGCAGCCGTGCAGTCACGAGGGTAAACTGATGCTCCACGGTGTATCCATTGTGTTAGATGGTTTTGCCCAACTGTAGGCTAACGTAAGTGTTGTGAGTACATTTTAGGTAGGCTAGGTTAAGCTCTGATGTTT